TCATCAGGTAGTTCCATTTCCAGTTTTTTGAGATACCTCCATACTGATTTCCATAGTGGCTGCACCAGTCTGCAGTCCCACCAACAGTGCACAAGGGTTCCGTTTTCTCCACAGCCTCGCCAGCACTTGTTGTTTGTTGATTTATTGATGATAGCCATTCTGACGGGAGTGAGGTGGTATCTCATTGTGGTTTTAATTTGCATTTCCCTAATGATTAGCAAGGTTGAACATTTTTTCATATGCCTGTTAACCATCTGTATGTCCTCTTTAGAGAAATGTCAGATTTCAATTTTTATCTATTAGGATATTAATTTGTTAGTCTAATTATATATATATATATATATTTGCAAAGTAAAAACAACCTCACATTTCTTGTATTTATCATATACTATATATATGCAAGGACCTAAGAACACTTTCCTTTTTTTTTTTCCTCTTGCTATCTATTTTACTTGTATATATGTTAATAACCCCACAAGAGACTTTGGTTAACAGACCTTTTTATTTTATAGAAATGGCATTCTATATTTAATAATGCTTGCTGCCTTAAAGTCTACTTGGTCCATATTAAAATAGCTAAAATAGTTTCCTTTAATTAGTGTTTGCAGTGTATCTTTTTCTGTCCTTTTGTTTTCAATCTTACTGTGTATTTTTATATTTAAGATGTGTCTCTTAGAAGCAACATGTATATATTACAATTTTGGGGGGAGATATTTGTATTTTAATTGGTGCATTTATTCCATTTACATTTAATGTAATTACTCATATATCTGGATTTGAATGTACTTTTTTACACTTTGCTTTCTATATGTCCTGCATGGTCTATCCTCCTTTTATCAGATTTGTTGCTTTCTTTAGGATTATTTTCTATTATTATGTTTTCCTTTTTATTTACATGTTTGTTTTACCTTCTTTTACTATTCTATTGGAGTTACCCTGGGGATTTCAACATGTGTACTTGAGTTATGAAAATCTATTAGAAAATACTACTTTTACCTCCCTTGCCTCGTTGCAGCTTTATTTATGGTGGCCAAGACATGGAAACAACCAAAGTGTCCTTCATAGATGATTGGATAAAGAAGATGTGGTATATATACACAATGGAATACTATTCTGCCTTAAGAAAAGATGAAATAGTGCCATTTGTGACAACATGGATGGATCTTGAGATTATTATGCTAAGTGAAATAAGTCAGAAAAAAGTTGAGAACCATATGATTTTACTGATATGGGGGATATAAAACTGAAAGCAACAAAGGAGCAAGACAAGCAAACAAACAAAAACTCATAGACACAGTCAATAGTTTAGTGGGTAAGTGGGAAGGGGGTGGTAGATGAGGGTAAATGTGGTCAAATACGAGTATGTGGTGATAGGAGAACTGACTCTCGGTGGTGAACATACAATGTGATATATAGATGATGTATTACAGAATTGCACACCTAACACGTATGCAACTTTACTAAGCACTGTCTCCTCAATAATTGAGACCAGATAATTAGAAAATGTGGGGTATACAAACTAAATATGGGGTCTATAATTCAATGATCACTACATTATTTTCTGTATGTTTGAAATAGTTCATATTTTACAATAAATTTAAACATTAAACTGCAAAAAAAAAGAGAAAAGAAAAGAATACCTTTTACCACTTTTTAAACAATGCAAGGACCATAGAATACTTGAATGAAATACATTTAACACCTTCCCAACTTTGTTTTCATATTTTAAACTCTATATGTATTTAAAACACCATGAGATATTATTGTTTTGTTACAATCAATTTTCATTTAGATTTGCGTAAATATTTACCCTTTTTAAAAAAAATTAATTTGCTAGAGTGGCTCGCAGAACCTAGGAACACAGTTTACTTACTAGATTACCAGTTTATTACAAAGGATATTAAAGGATATGAATGAACAGCCAGATTAAGAGATACATAGGGCAAGGTCTGGAAGAGTCTTGAGTATAGGAGCTTGTGTTTTCATGGAGTTGGGGTATACCACCCTCCCAACACATAGATGTGGTCAGCTACCTGGAAGCCCTCCACACTTTTGGGATTTTTGTGGAGGTTTCATCACGTAGACATGATTGCTCACTAAGTCAATTGCCAGGTCCCCTCTCCTTTCCAGAGGATAGGGATGGGGCTGAAAGTTTCAAGCTTTTAATCATGGCTTAGTCTTTCTGGTGACCAGTTCCTCATCCTGAAGCTACGAGCATTCAAAAGCCCACAAAGAGTTGCTTCATCAGAACAAAAGACATTCATATCATCCAGGAAATTCCAAGGGATTTAGGAGTTGTGTTTCAGGAACTGGGGTCAAAGACCAAATGTTAGAACAAAAGATGATCATGATACTCTTACCACTTAGGAAATTATGAGAGTTTTAAGAGCTCTGTGCCAGGAATTGGGGGCAGAGACCACTATATATTTTCTATTATTTCACACACTATTAATCAGAATCTACTTAAACTTAGTTCAAAGCTTAATGTTCCCTGATCCAGCCAGCCCATATGTTTGCAAATCTATGCAAAGGCCCCAGTCACCCCAAAACTTCTCAAGGATAGTTTCCTTCTTTCCAGTTTCCCCCATACCCCTCCTCTTCCTTCTTGTTCTTTTTCCTGTTTTGCCGTGATCTAATACAGTCTTGCCTGAATGCATTTGGTGTTGGGACAGAGAGTAGGGGCAGACTTAGGAAGTTCTGGACCCTACTTTGAGGCTGTTAGCCATTTCGATC